TTTTTGCTTTTCCTGTTTCCAATGATAGAAAAAGTAAGAAATGGTGCGTTTGGACTCCCAAGCCGTGAGAAGTTTCCCAACAATGAAAAATTTTTGCCAAAGAGTTCGGAAAAAGTGAAACGATGCGAACCAGGGGCTGCGCCCCCCGGCCCAAAGCTGGATCCAGCAAGGCCAGGGTTCGCGTTACCAACACGTGTATTGGTCTTAGCCGTTGATGACGTGGCTGCTGATGCTAGTTTGCGCCTCCTCTTGATTTACACTTATTTATGCTCGTTACTGTGATTCGGTCAATTGATTGAGCAAAACTAACTTATGATCACTCATACGAAAACAGCGTAAATACCCTTTTTCTTTATCGACGTGAAGCCAATCCAACAGAATCTTAACCTTTCAATTAGGATAGTGCTTACTTCCACCTCAATGATAAATTATTACAAAATATTTCTTACCACTATTAATTACAAGATTAACTAATTTTATAATTTATTATAAAAGAACAATCAAATAACAAAAAATCAATTAAATTCAAATTTACTTACTTTCGTGAATTCACAAATTAACAATGATAATTACCTAATTTATTAAAAATGTGATTCCTGTATATTAATAAGATAAATTTTTAATAATATATCGAATATCTTTAATCAAGTCCGGCCATGTTCTCTACTAATGTAAAGAGAAAATAATGAAAGCATAGACAGCATGCAACTAGTCATTCAATTTTACTAAAGGAAATTGAATACTTATAGAGCAAGCTACAAAGCAACAATCCAAATGGCAGTCCTTATCCATCATTTTATATGGTATCCTACAATTAGCTCCAAGAGTTGGCCAAATTCGACTTGAACATCAAGTTAAATAGAATTTTAAAGTTGTCGGTGCATTAAAAATAAAAAAAAATCAATTTTATATCTTAACTCAATCTTTATCGTTTTTTAAAATAAAAGACAAACACAAATATTAATATAAATATTATTGTTCTGAAAGTATAAATAAATATCTTTTTATTCTTAAAGATATATAATATGAATTAAACTAACAAAGAAATAACATATTAATGATTTTGTATGAAAAGTGATTAAAAAGTAATTATATAAAATTATAAGTTATATTAATAATTTGATTTAAAATAAATTTAAAAATTAAAAAGATGGTTACTATTTTCGATCCGCTCCTACAGCAAGACAGCATCGTTATATTACAAGTTGATTGTTTGGTAACAATCAAGTACCTAAAAAACAATTTTTGATTGACTTGTGCATGATAAAATTTACCAAATTTGCATAACCATTATAAAGATAATGTATTGTTCAATGTGTGATTAAAGCAACTCGCCGACACTTGCATTGGATTTTATCGGCCATATGTTGCTGACATTATTCGTGCCTATGTTAGGGGAGATTGACAATTGTAGATAGGAATGAATCTATAGAAATATAGATGGCTTTGCGACATTGGTGAATGGTGCTGTTATTGTCAAGCCTGTCCGCTGGGGGGAAAAACGCAACAGTTGATTAGTGATCCTAGGAAGGATGCCCACTCAATGACTGCTGTAAAAAGCCTATATTCGATGCCACCCAAAGTGGCGAACTCTGCACCATGGCTGAACTAAAATGCTCTGCTGTCAGTGCCAACTTGCAGCAATCGAGAGTCAAAGTTGAAAAATGAACTCGCTTTTTCAACAAAAACAAATGAAGCAGAGTGATCATCTCATTCTCACGAGTTTCCCGAGAAACGGTTGACAGCGGGTACACGAGCAAGTTATGGACGTGTGTCATAATGATGAGGACAGGTGGCATCCAAATAAGACAATAGATAATTAAATACTTATAAAAATAATAGTAGACTATTCCCAACCTGTTCATGGATCAAGTTGCATGTGTTCGCTCTAAAAAAAGGGTCGAGAAGGGAATATTAGTTGTAGTTATAGACTTAAGTTCATATGGACTCGAGCTCGGGTCCATAACCTAAAGCAGACAAAGCAGAGCCACACTAGAAAGTCGAACCTGTTTCCACTATTGTCTTGCTGGATTGGGTACTTGGGTTTCAAGGGAAGCATCAATGTGGGTTTTTTTTTTTTTTGTTCTTTCTGTTAATTGAAAATTGAGGGAAATAAAAAGTATGGAAGAATTGTAATGTGGTCCTTCCTTTTTTAACGATTAATTTAATTAAAGTGAAAGGATTATTTAGTGATTTCTTATTTTCTTTCTTAGAGACAAATTTTTTTTTTTCAATATATAAATATGACACTTTATTAGAATTTCATATTTCAATTTGAAGATTTTAATTTTGAATCTTGAAAAAATATAACAGAAAATTTATGAGATGAACAACTACCTCTCATTTGGGTAATTCAACATCACATATATATAAAAAATCATTGTTTTATGTTTTAGAATAATGAGAAATAGTAACTATTATATATCGTGGAAAGGAGAATTTTTTTAATTTGATTTATCAAAAAAATGTAAAGACCATTTGAATTTACTTTATTGTTTCTTCTTTTTTTTTTTTTTTTGATTTCATAGTAGACAATAAAAAATTTTTTATATATTTTTATTCATTTTTATCTTCTCTTAAAATATTTATATGTACTTTAAAGAACATTTAGATTTACTTAATTTTAACAAAACTAGAGACT